GACTCGAACAAGACTAGAGATTCGAGCATTCGATTCTACAGAGATTGGAATCACGGTGAATGAATGGATTAAACGGAGAGGAAGGCAAATACATACTTGGCCTGCTGCCTCGAGTAAGACTTGATCATACTCGCTGAGAGCAACACAAAATATGATAGACGTGACAGCTTCGAAACAATGAATCCATTTCTTGCGTTCCGAGCGTTGACCTATTCATGTAGGGTGAATATCAATCAGTAGTCAACAAGTCAGACAAAAGCGAACCTCCGACGTCAAACATGTGTATCGATAATTGTCCCATGTTGAACCTTGCCAGGCATCAGCATTTGTAGTTGAAGGCTGGAATGAGTGTAAGACTCGTACCTTGTCTCGGCGATTCCTGAGCTCTTCGCACGCGCGCGAAGGACGTCCGCTTCGTTCGGCACATAGTCAGGAGCGCCAATCCGCAGAACTTCACTGAAGAAGCTGTAGAAATCGGTCAATTCAACTGAAATCGTCTTCTCGTATGGTTATCTCACTATGGCGCCGAATCCATGAGGTAAAAGTCGCTCGAGTGGTCCATCAACTCAGAGATGATAGGATCGGCCCAAAGCGCATGGATAGCTTGTGCAATCTCCGTGTCCAACTTTATCTTGGATGTGGAGGTGGGGTTGCCGTTGATGTCTCGGGGAGGGAAGACGATGAAGTCGCGGTCGTATCTGTCGCTGCGCTCGCCTCGGTCAAACTTGTCCCTGCTTGAGGTTGAGTTGTGTCCCAATAGTGCCCCTATTGCATTCTGAGCAACCCCCAAGAGCGTCTCGACCCGGTAATCCATTATTTTCTCGGCATTTTGTCGATTCTCCGGTAGCACTGGGTCTACCCCTAATTTTCTCATGGCAAGGACGATGTCCTGAGCGGAATCTACCAGGTTCCTGAAGATAGTTGGTCTGAACGACATCAGCTCGCTCTGGGTGTAGCCATTCTGGTGTATGATCTTCATCTGCTTGACAATAGTAGATTTTCCTGATTCCCCTGAGCCTGTTAA